TGAATGAATATGCCGTATGTGCTGGAATTACTGATAAGCCAAAATATTTATGGGAATGGATTTAAAAAGAGCTATATAAATAATTGAGTGTGAAAACTATTAATTTTACGTATAGAAGCAGATCATGCCTGGGCGGCTCAGTTGGTTGAACGTCCAGCTCTTGGTTTTGGCCTAGGATATGATCTAACCCTGAGGTCCTGGGGTTGAGCCCCGTGCTGGGCTCCTCGCTCAGCATGAAGTCAGCTCGTCCCTCTCCCTCTGATCCCCCGCCTACTCTCTACCTCTCTTGAAAATAAATAAGATCTTAAAAAAAAAATAAATAAAAGACGACATTGAGAAATTTCTTAGAGTTGAATAATAGGAAAATCAATGGATAGTGGGAATATTAATTAGGCTAGATAATATCTAGGAGAATACCTTACATGCATAAAAACATTTAAAATAACAGTACACGGCAGAGTAACAAATACAATTTTTGTGACTCCAATGGTTGTAGAATTGGCATACTAATATCCAAAATTTTAAACAAGTAACTGCATTAAATTTGTGGTTATTTTATGCCACTTAGATAACTGATTTTCAAGAAAAATTTTAATTTCGGAATTTTTCAGTCTTTTGAGGACAACTTACTTAAAAACCGAATGTCAACTTTCCTACCTCAAAGTTCATGAAAAGGACCAACTCCAAAGATGTATAAACCACATCTAGATAAATCACCTTTGACCTGGATAAAACTGAATAAAAGGAGAAAGTATTAGAGGAAACAGAGGTACCTCTAATATTCTGTTCTCAGGGATCACATTTTAAAAATAGCTGCAGTAAGAATACTTTAATAAAGACAATTCCCCTTCTACCTTATATAGAGAATTAATCTGAGATGGATCATAGACTTAAAAGCTAAAACTTTAGCTTCTAAAAAAAGAGAACCCTTTGGTAACATTCAGGATGGCAAAGATCTGTCAAAGCACTAACCATACTGAAAAAAAGATAAACTGGATTTCATCAAAATGAAAAACTTCCACTCATTGGAATATACCATTAAAAGGCAAGGCCTAGGGATGCCCGGGTGGCTCAGCGGTTGAGCGTCTGCCTTCGGCTCAGGGTGTGACCCTGGGGTCCCGGGATCGTGTCCCACGTCGGGCTCCCTGCATGGAGCCTGCTTCTCCCTCGGCCTGGGTCTCTTGCCTCTCTCTCTGGGTCTCTCATGAATAATAAAAAATAAAAAATAAAAATAAAAGGCAAGGCCTAGCCTGGCAGAGATATTCAAAACACACACGTGCAGTTGACCTTCGAACTGCACGGCTCCACTTACGCACGGATGTTTTCCGATAGGGGACTGTACTGTAAATGCAATTCTCTCTCCCTTATGATTTTCTTAATAACATTTTCTTTTCTCTGGCATACTTGATGGTAAGAATACTGTACATAAAACGTGTGACATAAGATATATGTTAACCGACAACTTATGTTATCAGTAAGGCTTCTGGTCAACAGTAGGCTATTAGTACTGAAGACTTTGGGGGGTCAAGGGTCACATGTGGATTGTTACCTACACAGGGACCGGGGGCTCCGACACCCCTTCTCCTTCCATTTCTCAAGGGTCAACAGTATCTTTGGCAACTTGTATAAAAAGTGTATGAAGAACTTGTAGAAATCAATAATAAGACGATAATATCATTTACAAGTGGGCAAAAGACTTGAACAAATACTTTAATAAGTATATGAATAGGGGATCCCTGGGTGGCTCAGCGGTTTCGCGCCTGCCCTTGGCCCAGGCCGCGATCCTGGAGTCCTGGGATCGAGTCCCACGTCGGACTCCCGGCATGGAGCCTGCTTCTTCTCCCTCCTCCTGTGTCTCTGCCTCTCTCTATCATAACTAAATAAATAAATCTTAAAAAAAAAAAAGAAGTATATGAATAGCTACGGGCATACCAAGAGGTACTGTTGCCGATCAATGTAAACTAAAGCCGCAACGAGACACGATTACAGATCAGAATGGGTAAAATTAAAGAATGACAATAATGAGTGTTAGTAAGGATGTGTAGCAATGGAAACTTGTAGTTCACCGGTGATAGTGTAAAATGATAAAATCGCTTCGGAAAGCGTTTGGAAACTGCCAGTTTTGCTAAAACAAACATACACCTATCTTATGACACAGCAGTCCGACTCTTGGGTATAAACCCACGAAGAATGAGTGCACATACCCACCAAAAACACAGGTACAAAAATGTATACTGCAGCTTTATTTGGAACAGCCTCCAATTGGAAAGAACTCGAAGGCCATGAATGGATCAATGAGTTACGGTATGTCCATACAGGGAATAGTCCACCGCCAGAGAAAACCCAACCGGTGACACGTGCACGCGTCTGTGAATCACAGCCGTTACTCCGACAAAGGAAGCCACGCATAAGACCGCACACACTGCACGATCCCATTCACAAGAGGCTGAGCACGGGCCTAAGTAACCGAATTTAGAAGAGAAGAGTGGTTCTTCCTCCAGGAGGTGTAGCTGGGAAAGGAAACTAGGGCTCAGAATTTTTTTTGTACTTTAAGCGTATACATCCTGATACAAGTGTATACATGTGGCAAGTTACACTTAACGATCAGTGTACTTTTTGTATTTTACGGTAGGTATGTTATTATCCCTTACTTAAAAAACAAAAGTCAGCTAGACAAATTGAGTTTACTCCATACATCTGATGAAAGAGAAAACACACATCACCACACATAATCATTTGTGATCAAATAAGATTTTATTTGATTATATAGTGATAATACAAACAAATTATGGGAAAAATCCTCAATCACGACTCAGAAAAAACCCTAAAGCATTACATATACCACGGAGCTGTCACTGGATTTAACTATATCTTGATAAGCAAAAACACTACAGAAGGCGAAAAATAGTGTGAAATTTCAGAATATTTTTAAAGGGGGTAATTCCTTATGCTTTTAAATGAACAGAGGCTAAAATTTAAATGAAAATGCTGTTGACTCTACTGCTATAGACTATGCATCATTTCTGTAAATAAGAAAATTTAGAGATTTGCCTAAGCAAGGGACAAAATTCCTTTTACTAAAAAAAGTTATATATTTTTTTTCTAAAAAAGCCTTCTGCAGTGCACATCTTACTGAGCATCCACTGCAGTGGTGGAGAATGACACCTGAAGAAGCAACCTAATTGCTGACATGACAATTTTACTATATTTTTAATGTCAAACTTCTAAAATCTGACTACTCTGGTTGTAGCAAAATAAAAAAATTGAAGTAAAATTTGAGGTTTATATTCGTGACACTCCAGAATGTGTCCATAACCCCAAATCCAAAAATGTCTATTTGTTGTACTTCTAGCTGCCTCGTTTTAATATTAACCCACTGTCCCCTGTACTCCCCCCACCCCCAGCCCCCTAGTGTTCGGGTATCTGTCTCCCGCCTTCCTGGTTTCCCAGGTACACACACTGTTCCCAGTTTCCAGAGACCCCCTTCCCCAGGCCCGCATCCTGCTTACTTGACATAGTAGCCATCCCAGGACTTTTCCTCTTTGCATTCCTCTGTGAGATCTTACGTTTTCAGGACCCCAAGCCTTCTTGGGGACTCCCAAGAAGATGGACTGCTTTTGCTTTGGTGAGTGAAGCACATTCTCCAGCGGCCTCCTAAAAAAAGGAACACGGTAAGATGCAACGTTGAGACCACACAAGCCCAAACGTTATGTTAGCCCCGTACGTGGACGCTGGGGAGCGGAATTCTACGTTGGAATTTTTCCTCTTCTATTTGAAGGCCTTGTTTTCATAGTCTTCCTTCGACCAGTGTTGCTTCCAAGAAATCTAAACCAGATTGCAAAGACTTCTGTTTCTTTTGAGATTTATTGGGGGGGGGGGAGGGCGAGAGCAACCAGGGGGAGGGGCAGAGAGAGAATCTCAAGCAGACTCCTCACTGAGCACCAAGCCTGATGTGGGGCTTGATCCCAAGACCCTGAGATCATGGCCTGAGCCAAAATCCAGAGCTGGAGCTTAACTGCCTGGGCCACCCAGGCGCCTCATGAAAAATACCTTTCATGTGACTCTCGTTTCATCCCCTTCGGAAGCGGTTGGGGTCTTTATTCTCGGCGTCCTGAAGTCTCAGGATATGCTTCTGTGTGTTTGAGAAATTGTGCCGGGCACTTGGTGGATCCTCTTAATTTACGTGACCTGTATCCTACATTTTGGAGAAATGTTCTTTAATTTTGTTCTCTTTTCACCCCACCTTCTCTCGTCTCATTTTGGAGCTCTTACTAATCAGATGTTGCATGCCGTTCTGATCTTCTGATTTTTCTCCTTCTCTATTTACCACCTCCGTCTTTTTGTTCTACTCTCTGAAATTTCTTCACCTTATCTTCCAATACACCTACGGAACGCTTAATTCAAGCCCTATTTTTCCAATATTTGTATTTTCTGATTGTTCATTTTTTCCCCAGCATCCTGTTCTTACTTCACGGATGCAGTATATTCTCCTGTGTCTGAGAGTACTATAGCTTCTCTGGGGAGTTTTATGGCCCTTGCGTTATTTCCAGGTTTTGGGTTTGTTTGTTTTAGGTTATTTTAGTTGTTTTAGTCTCCATATCTCATTCTTGAAGTTATCCTCAAATATGTATTGATCCTTGGCTATCAGTTTACCATGATCACGAGAGACTCAGAGCCACATAGGAGTGGGCAGGCCTTGCGACTCCGGGTTTCATTGTAACAGGTCACCAGGTGGCACGTTGTTTGTAGAACTGCTCATCTCTCTGGGTGGGGTGGGCAGGGCTGGGCCTGAGCCCAGCTGCCAGATTCTGAGGCCGGCTGGAGGAGGCTGGAGGGCGCGTGATCAGAATGCCGACATTCTCTCAATCCCCGGTTTTCAGTGGGGCACCTCACACCACCACTGCTCTCCCCGAGGCCCAGTTCTAATCTGCTCGGTTTGATCTGTCCAGAGGATAAGCCTCCCAGCTTCGGCTGCAAAGTGGGATGAGTGACCTGGTTACAAAAGGAGACAAAAATAAACGTTCAGATTCGTGTTTTCAACTTTGCTCCTCACCCCCCATCTCCCCGGGTGTCCTGTGCCTTCTGGGGGTTCTGGAAGGAAAAGATGAGGCTTCCAAGTGTGTGGACCGTTTCTGCAAATGCAGAACGGCTGCCACTACCGTGCTACCTACCAGGTTTTGTTTTGAGTAATACTGAAGCTTTCCTTCATAGTAAAGCGAAGTGAGAAGTTAACTGCTTAAAACACGGCTTAAGATTTAGCAGTTAACCCAAACAGGACACAGACAGCCACAAACCCAAACCACCTATTATCGTGACAGCATTTTAAAAATGTGTCTGGAAAGGTTTTAATGGTTATGTGATTATTTTAACCTACAAAATGTGTCTCCTACAAAACTCTCGTACCAGCAATTGGGCTTCCCCTCCCACCTCACGCCTCTAATCTTGGCTCAAGTATGTGTTCGCCTCCCGCTCCCCTGCCCCCCATCACGTATTTGGAGGTAGGTTAAGCCACACATAATGGGAAGAGCCGGACTGCCTCCAGGAACAACTCCATGATTACAACCCAACTAATCAATGCTGCTAACATATTTATAGGGCTGCCAGATTAAAAAAAAAAAATTTAATGTGGATTTCAGATAAGTAATTATTTTTTTCCTGGTATAAGTATGTCCCGTATTTCATTGTTTATCAGAAATTCATTTGGGCATCCTGTATTTTATATTTGCTAAATCAGTAACCCAACAGATTTAAGGAAACAGTGCACAGAAAAGTGACCAACATTAAAGAGGGAAGGTGGCATCTGGACCAAGGCATTCAGGGCCCTGGGAGTCCACATTACTCCGGGGCAGGTAGCTGGGGGCCGACACCACACAGCCCACCTTGTGATGAATTCCCGTGGCACACACTGGTTGTGGCCAGCATTAATGCTTTCATTAATAAAGACTTTAGTTCTCTAGGTGTTGGCCCCGTGTCACCAGACCTCTGCCACTGGTGCTGAATCAAGTCTTTCTGGTAGTTCGGGGTGCAATCATAAAGCCAGTCTATAGGGTTTTCTTTCACGAGGACTGGCCATACCCTTGGACTGTTCCAAAAGCTGGGGAGCCTCCCCAGGGAAGTTGTCCCTTCCAGACGCCTGCCTAACTAGAACACTGTAAAACACCAGTTGACACACTGGAGCCTCGGGTCCCCCCACTGACACTATGGGTGGCACGTCAGTGTTCAGGGTTCGGCAGTTCACCCAAATGTGACTTTCCCTGAAGAAGGAGCTGCTGAGTTTACAAACTGCAACACTGACTCTGACACCGTTTCATCTGGTTTCTGCTGAAATCTAATCGGATACCACATCGGCTGGGTTTCTATGTATACTCGGAACCGAGTTTTAATCTTGTTGGGCCGACTGGGATCCCAGGTCTCCTGGGTGACCACAGATCATGTCCTACTCCAGGGACATCAATTCCCAATGGATCCAGGAATTTTCATATTATGTGTCAGGGTCACCCATGTCTTCCCAAATAAATCGCCCAAACTCCAGCCAACTTTTTTTTTTTTTTTTTTTTTTTTTAAGGATCCAACCCTAACCCGTCACTAGCAATTTAAGCTCGTCACTAGCAATTTAAGCTAAGTCCATGCTGTTTGGAAGCAATAACTTTGGGATTTTAGAATCAGGCCTTCCTTTCCCACATCTCCCTGAGAAGAGCCGGTCATAGTTCTCACAGCTAACAGCAGTTGGGTAGCCAGCAAGTGTCAGGTCATGGCGTTACCTTCATCCTTTCCATTTTCTCGGTCTCATGTCCAAAACTGTTATTTAATCCCACTGTTGTCACCAATTGAAAGAATTCAGAGGGTTGTATACAGCGATAGACTCAAATATGTAACTGTTAACTGAACTTTGTTTAAAATTGGCAAAGATAATGCTAGAGACTTTCTTTTCGACAAGAGCAAGTTGACACCGGTGGGTGGTGTTGGCTGGTATGGCCCTCTCAATGTCCCAGTCCAGTGGGTACTGCTCACTGGGGACTCAGGCCAGGAGCTCTGCACAGGCTTGTATCATGCAGTCTGACAACTTATCCAGACTTTCTGGGCTTTTCCATATGCCCCAGCCATACAAGCAAAACACTCCTGGCCCTGATCTTTGGGTGCCATTGCCTCTTGAACTTATCAAATACAACTTTTATCTGTGTATAAAAGACCTCTTTATCTATTCCCTCAGCTGACTACCCCTTTTGGGGTTTAATTGTGCCCTCCATGTGAATTTCCACTACACTTGCACATTTACAAATATCTACGGGTCTGTAGAAGGATCAGGCAGGCTTATTTAATGTGACCCTAGAGAGCAAAAATATCAATGGCCAAAAGCTTCAGGGCAATTATATTGGTTCAATATATTTTATTTTTAAATTATTTTTAAAAAAGATTTATTTGAGACGGAGAGCACAAGCAGGGGGAGGTGCAGACGGAGAGGAACAAGCAGACTCCCCGCTGAGCAAGGAGCCAGATGCAGGGCTCAGCTGCATCCCAGGACCCTGAGATCATGACCTGAGCTGAAATCAGATGCTTAACCGAGTCAATCACCCAGGTGCCCTGGTTCGATGTATTTTAAAATTAATTTCTGGGACGCCTGGGTGGCTCAGCGGTTGAGTGTCCACCTTCGGTTCAGGGCGTGGTCCCTGGATCCAGGATCGAGTCCCGCATTGGGCTCCCTGAGGGGGGCCTGCTTCTCCCTCTGCCTGTGTCTCCATCCTTCTGTGTCTCTCATGAATAAATAAATCTTAAAAAACAACAGATTTTTTTATGTGTAGTATCTAATTTTGCACTCCCAGTGTCTGGGTTATAGTAGACACACCATATGTTATTAGATGAATGGCTAAATTTCTAACAAGAGACATTTAAAAGTAATGGGATACTCCAAAAGGCATGAAGTTCTCTAATACTGAAGCCAAAAGTAGAAAATTATTAGAGACAGAAGAGAGAATTTATGTATTGGTAAAAAAATAACCCAAGCGATCTCTAAATTCCCTAACAGCAGACATGTATCAATTTTCTTCCTTCTCTTGGGAACGCTGATGGGTTTAAAAGACATGATTACGGTCTTCTGTGCTCAAAGTATCTGGACTGCTTCAACAAAGAGAGGCTGCCGATCTGCACGGCAAGAGAGTAATACCTTTAATAACATTGATGTCTGTTGGTTTAGAAGTCCTGTTTCCTTTGATAAATATTCCTGTGAATACATAATAAATTTGTCATTTCTCCCAATCTCTTGTAGGGGAGAGTGGGAAAGTGGTAAATCCTCTCCTACAGCCCCGTGTCCGTGGCACACAAAAAGAAGTAAAGGCTTAAGTCTTTTCCAGGATCCTATCACTCTGTGTAACCTGTAATTACTTAACATATACTAACAAATGGGTTCAAATACAGGTCTTGACTGAATAGCTGACATTTTCTTTTATGAGTATGTTTCATTTTCTAGAGCTGCCAAGTCACCTCCTATCAGACACGCTGTATAGATACTATTTATCTGTATCCGTATCAGTCAGTTGACTCTATTCAGCACTTAGTGAATGTTGGATAGGCCTTAAGCAAAGCAGGATCTGTTTCATTTGTTGAGAACAAATGACCATACTCTGTTCAGCATGTATAAAGCTGTCGGTTTATTCAGCTGCGGAGCTGGGGAAAGGCTTCCTTTTGCAGTGAATAGCAAAAATGCTTCATGAGCAAGGCACTTTTATACACACATACAGAAAAAGGAACAAATTATGGTTACATAAACATCAATATATTTTAATTTTCAGATCTCCCTACCTCTTCCCACCTCCCGCTTAAAAAAAAAAAAAAAAAAAGGAAAACAGGTTCTTACAACATTTTAAAAACCCAGTTTCACAGAACATCTACATAGGAACAGTTTCTGATACATTCAGTTATACTAACAGTATGATATGGTTTCAGTTCAGCAATTTTCCACTAACAAATATTTTTTCCTATTACAGGTCCCTCTTTTTTCCTCAAGATATGACAACTAAAGCTTAGCGGAAAAATTCATCAGATTATAAACATTTCCCTCTCTCCTTAAAGTTGCTATACATGTATAGAATTTGTGATTCCACTGATGCTTCCCTTTCTTTGATGCCACATCATACGCAGTAGTTAATTATGGAGAACAGGAAAAAGTAAGATTAAAATGAAAGGGTATGTGACATATTTTTCACAATCCATTTTCTGATGGCTTTTTGATGCCCGGTCAGCCAGGATCACACACACAGGTTTCACTCTATTGTAGGTGTGTGAAAAGATTTAATGGTCACATGCATCTTCTTTTATGTAGGACTTCTATGTTTTAACTTATTTAAATAAATACAGCAAGATTCATTCACAAGGGTACATACTCTTCCTTGTTGAGCTAGAAAAAAATCTAAAGCTAATCTATCTAGAAAAACAATGATGCTACAAACCCCAACTTCAAATTGTACTAGGCTGAGATTTTTCTGTAGTAGTAATAAGATCTTTAAAGTTAGAAGAGTTCCTGAAAAGTTTGCAATAGATGTAAACAGTGCATAAAGTACTGCTGAGATTATACAGATGAAATATTTTAATTCACTAGTAGTTAATACTGAAAGCGTAAATGCTCTTAATCCTTTCCTACTGGTCTTTTAAAATACAATCTGCTCTTGACTAACCTCTGAATGCCAAGATGCATGAAACACATTCCCTGCAGAACAGGTGTCTGTTTAACCCCCGGCTTCAATTTTTTTAGGCCAACGTAGCTAGAGACGGCCTGCTGGGAGCCTAGGATATAAAGGTTTATACTGTAACTGCAGGTACTGTAGCAGGTCTGAGGCAGTGCAGTCTAGGTTTGAAACTGTACTCCCTCCCCCCAAAATAAGAACCCTAAAGGGTGCCATCTATAGGCCTATCTGTATAAAAGGTGGGAGATAAATCCTTAGCCCCATCATTTTCTTTTGTCTAGGTAATTCAAATTAATTTAACTAGCATGTAGAAATTAACGTTAGAAAAGCATATGCTCAGAAAGGTGTTATTGGGAGTAGCTAAGTTCCCACTTTCCCCACTGGTGATTTTGAAGGTTAGGTAACAAAAGGGGTAGGGGCCCGTTACTTCTTCCTCTCCATTCAGAGAGGCACAATAAATTAGGGGGCGGGGGCTGAGTGTGAACAATAGTCAACTTCTGTAATATGGTCCATTTTGTCTAATTTTCTACTGAAGTTTTCATTTTATCCACAGGGTCTGTCAAAGGGCCATCTCATCATGCATTTTCTGTAGCGGAGTTACGGTGCTACTGTAGTGGCAGTACCTAAGGGCTTGTCAGGACAGGGCATCGTTCACTGAGAAGGCATGTGTTTCTTAACTGCGGTGTGTGTGTGTGACTTCCTTCTCAATCAGCAATAGGACAGATACCAGAACAAATGGTAGCTCTTTATAGTGATGCAGTTAGGAGTCTGTTAACTGCCTTTTGGAAGTCAGTGTATGAGTAAGTCGTGTTGATGGGTTCAGTGCGGGTTGTTTCCTTAACTGTTTTAGTTAACCAGCCACAGCAACAACCAGAAACACATGAATTAGGGATCTGTTTTAGGTATTCAGGTATGGGAGTGGCTCTACTCAACGTTCGGCTTAACTGTTTGGTGGCAAGCTGTAGTGCTCCATTTAGAGTGGCATGATCTCTAGACAGCCGGCTGGCATTTTTAAGGGGCTTCTGAAAAGGGGGTACTCCACAAGAAGCCAGAGGAGGCCACTCAGGAATTGGTTCCAGTTTGGGTACACAATGGGAGCAATGGGAGAGTCTTAGGCCTATCTCTCGAAGTATATGGACTGGTGTGCTTGGATCCAAGAGTTTAGCATGATATAACCAGGAATTAGGATTTAAAGGTTTCCAAGTTGTAGAATATTTTAAAAGGCACTTAACCTGCCAAGCAAGACTCTCAAGAGGTGTTAGGTTGGGCACCACAGGGTCTTCTTCTTCAGAGGAATCCCACTCTTGCCCAGAACTCTCATTTAGGTAGTTAGCGTTTTCTTCGTCCTCACTTTCTGATTCTGATAAGGGGTCAGGAGAGGGATTTCTGGGACCCATTAGAACAGAAGAAGAAACCAGAAAAGGGTAACAATCTAAGCCAGCAAAAGACTAAAACTAGCAAACAGAAACAAAAGATGAAAAATCCTCCAGCAAGCTTAATCTGTGTGACAGTCCGTTATGCACACATGGTATGTCTCTGGCTCATACCACTGTGCAGTTCTTCGAGATTATGTTGTATATTCTTCACTTACAAAGAAGACATCTCGGTTCTCAGGACCAGTTCAGTGTGTAAAAGTGTTAAGTCACTTACCAGTTGTACAGGTCAGAGTCTCTCCTTCAAATCCTGGCTACCCAAGAAGAGAAGGGGTCCTCATCTAGGAAAGCTGATTTTCTTAGTGGCCTCAACTGGTCTTGATACTGGGAAGAGACACTTTGTGTATTCTGTTTTGTTGGTAGAGATATTATATCTACTTGGTAAAGAAAAGAAACAATGGTTGCCTTTGTTGTCCACTGGTGGTGCAAATTTTGTGCAGGGAGATGGCGGGATGAGTTGTCAAGGACATCTGGTGTACACAGATCCGATGCTTTCCATGGATGGTGCAAATGCCCTTGGAAACTGGTGACTTAGTTGTTGAACTATCTGGAAAGGTAGCTTTAACCTGTGAATGAGAAGACTAGAGAAATGATATTAAAGTCTGAAAGCAATGAGTAACATTACTGTCCATCTAACTTTATTGAGTATCTAAGAACACGGATGCTAAATAAGAACCCTTACTGGGCTTTCCCATCTCTATTTCACAGACTCAGGCAGAATTTTCTATTGGGAATGACTCCTGGGAAGCAGAGCCTGGGGTCATTTTAATCACTTCTTGGTACATAGCTGGGTCAGTTTATTCTTTAGTAGACTGTTCTAGCCCAGAAAATTACTTCTGCAAAAGCAGTTCCTTGATGACCCAAACTCCAGACAGAGAGCTATAAGAGATAGTTCTTTCCCTTTAGATATGCTTGTTGGGATTAGTTTTAGGGGACCTGTCCTGGCTGTAGAGCTGCTAGACGTTAGGGCTCTTGCTGGGACCCAAAGGCTGTGGTCATTATAACCATAATCTACAGATACGAGAGAAAATGGCAGGTATAAATCTTTTTTTTTTTCTAGGTGTAATTCTTAATATAGTAGAAATTACAATGAATGTAAACAGGTTAAACTCACAGTTAAAAAACAGACAGACTGGATTAAAAAAAACAAGATTCAATAATAATGCAACAGAAGATACTTCAAAAAAAAAAAAGAAAAAGGTAAAAAAAAATAAAAGAATGAAAAAAGATGCATTAGGCAACTGTGGACCAAAATAAAACTGAGATAGCAATCTTAATACCCAACAAAAAAGATTTCAAGCCAAAAAATATAAGGGGCAAAGATGGACAATTACACCAGTGAAAGGAACAGAATAAAATTATAGTACTCATCATATACATGTATGACCCTGAAAGCACAACCTCAAATTTTTCAGGTAACAACTGACAGAACTATATAAGCAGGGGATATAAGAAGCCTGAAAAACAATCAAAATATTAATGTACTTTTTAGGTTTTACATCAGTTGTCAGGACTCTATGCCAAACAGGTTAGACATCTGAGAGTACACATACACGCACATGAAAATAGATCACGTATTAGGTCATAGATTCCAAAGGGTCTATTTCATTCAGATGAAATTCTCTGACCAAAATGCAATAAAAGTAGGTATTAAAGGTTATTTAAAAGCAACTCTATGTTGGGAAGCTAATTAACTCATGGGTTAAAATGGAGATTGAAAAGGATATTAAATACTAAAACCGAATAATATAAACTATACAAGGCAAAATTTGTGGGAGGCGGCCAAACTAGTACTTAAAGGGAAGTTACAGCTCTGAATACACCAATGAGGAAATTTAAGTATCTACAAGTTAAGCATTCAATTCAAAATAACGGAAAAGAGGACGCCTGGGTGGCTCAGCGGTTGAGCATCTGCCTTTGGCTCAGGCTGTGACCCTGGAGTCCCGGGACCGAGTCCCTCATTGGGATTCCCGCAGGGAGCCTGCTTCTCCCTCTGCCTGTGTCTCTGCCTCTCTCTCTGTGTATCTCTCATGAACAAATGAATAAAATCTTAAAGGAAATAAAAGCAGAAATGAAATAGCATACATGCGAGAATAACAGAAGACAAAATTTTTTTGAAGATATAAGAAAAAGTGACTAGTGAAACTGATCAAGTGACTTAAAAACACAAAAAGTGTTTAAAAGTAAAAAATATGAGAAATATATACTAAATGTGAAAACCTAAATGAAATGGCTGAATTCTGGAATAAAATACCAAAACTCACATAGGAGGAAATAGATAACCTGACTAGAACAAGCCAGTATGTGTTAAAGAAAATGAAAAGGCACCAACCTCCTTTTAAAAGCACCAGGCCCATATAATTTTATAAATGAGTTCCACTAAACTTCCAAGAAAATTAATACCTATTTAAGTTGTTCCAGAAAAAAAAATCATATAAGCTGACAAGCTCCTTTTATGATGATAATAAAATATTAATTACAAACCTAGAGAGGAACCAAATAAAAAAGTACAGGCTCATTTCACTTGCAAAAATTCCAATATTACGGGATCCCTGGGTGGCGCAGCGGTTTGGCGCCTGCCTTTGGCCCAGGGCACGATCCTGGAGACCCGGGATCGAATCCCACATCGGGCTCCCGGTGCATGGAGCCTGCTTCTCCCTCTGCCTACGTCTCTGCCTCTGTCTCTCTCTCTGTGACTATCATAAATAAATAAAATTAAAAAAAAATTCCAATATTACGTAATAAAATCCAATAGTAGATCAAATTAAAGGTAAAGAATATGCTTATAGAGCTTATCCCCCCCCCAGGAAGGGAAGAACACCTCAACCTCAAAGAAATTTATAGGGACGCCTGGGGGGGGGGCTCAGCGGTTGGGCGCCCGCTGGGTGCCCGCCTTCAGCCCAGGTTGTGACCCCGGGATCTGGGATCGAGTCCCGCATCAGGTCCCCATTATTATTTACAAATAATACAGTAATCTAATTAAAAAAACCTGACATTGAAACAATTAGAGTTAGGGGACCCCCGGGTGGCTCAGTGGTTTAGCGCCTGCCTTCGGCTCAGGGTGTGATCCTCGAGTCTTGGGATCGAGTCTCACATCAGGCTCCCCACATGGAGCCTGCCTCCCTCTCTGTGTGTCTCTCAGGAATAAATAAATAAAATTAAAAAAAAAAGAAACAATTAGAGTTACTAAAAGAGCTCAACAAAGTTCTTGATTTGAGATTAATCTATGGATATTAATTATCATATAGTATATAAGAACTGCCAATGTTAATTTATTTAAAATTCTCCTAATAACCCTACAAGAGAGGTACTTTAACTGCCCTCATTTTACGCATGAAATGTAAGCTACGTGCCCAAGGCCATATTTCTACTAAGTGACAGAGTGTGGATTTGAACACAGGTACTTTTAAGTTAAAAACTTCTACACAAACAATACTAACTAAAAAAAGCATTACATATAAATCTTTCACAATGAGGAAAAAAAATCCAACAACATCAAACCTATCAAGGATCTAGAAACTATTTAATAATATGTAAGACCTCTATGAAGAATGGAAAATTCTAATAAAGGACATAGAAAATGATTTAAACATCTTGGATGGAACAAATGAATATTATAAAAAGTTTTTCCAAATTGATTTATACAATCTCAATATGGAGAGAATAAAATTCCCCATGCAGCGACCCCAATTATTTAAACTGAAGATTGAAGGGGATTCTTGGCCTACAAGATATTACCACATATTACAAAAGTCACAGAAATTAAAATATGGTAGAGTTAGTATATTGGACAAACAGTCCAATTGTACAGAACAAAACTCAGAAACAGCCACACAAAGTTGTGGAATGTAGTACAAAATAAAGTTAGCACGTAAATCAAGGGGGATCGAACAGTTAGTACAAAATATTTGCAAAGCTGGCTCCTCACATGAAGAAAAACCAAACTGTATACCTACATACTGCCACATGCAAAGGAGGACTCATGTTCAATGAAAGATCTACGTGAGAATGTAAAACTATGTAGTTAATAGAATATAATACACGAATATAGAGTATCATTGTGACCTGGGGCCAGGGAGACTTTTATTATTACCATTATCTAAGATTTTATTTATTTAAGGGCGGGGAACAGAGGTAGAGGGACAAGCACACCCCACACTGAGCACAGAGCCTGACAGGGGGCTTAATTCCATGATCCCAAGATCATGACTTGACTTAAAAATCAAGAGTTGGATGCCCAACCGACTAGGCCACCCAAGGACCCCCCCAGAGACTCTTCAATAAAAAAACATAAAGCATGAGACCAAAAAATGAATTCAATTACATCAAAATTCATTATTTCTGAACTGAACTAAAGATATCAAGAACTAAGTTAACTACGAATCCACAACAAAAAGACAGCAACCTCAATAAAGAAATGGCTAAGGACAAAAATATTCAACTTACATGAGAGAAAATCAACAGGACATTAGCCATATGATGAGGAAAGAGTTATTATCACATTATTCTATTTGGTAAAAGTTAGAAAGCCGGAGACAATGCCATGGGTCAGTGAGGAGACAAACGAACAAGCCCTGTAGGAACCAGTCCTGCTGGTGATATTACAGTCCGGGGTAATTTTTCTGAAGAGAAGTCTGGCCACACTACTTAGCCAAACTATTTGCACATCTCATGATCCAGCAATTCTACTCTTGTGTATATAAAAAAATTCTCCATAAGACCTGCACGTACTCTGACGCTTCCTCTTTGATGGTAAGGAATTAGAAGTGTTCTAGGTTTCCATCACCGGGGGAGTGGATAAGCAAAATGTGGGGAAAGCACACTAGAGGTATACATAGCAACACGGGTGTACTAAAGGCACAACTCTAAAAGAAAAAGGCAAAAAACCAAAATAACATTTCATCTATGCTACTCTGTAGGAGTGATTTCCAAAATTAGTAAACATCTCTAGTTTCAAATATACACTGAGTTGTGCTAATAACGTCATATGCTATGGCTTCAGGTCAATATTCCTGTGAAGAACATTTCTCTGGGTTCCACACATTTTGTTCCCCCAAAACGTCTGGCATACATTACGGCTTGTTAGGTTTTTTTGAAAGAAAATGAGAGAATGACAAAGGTCAGCTGTAAGTAACTGTACAAGCATGTTCTGTTTTTATTTTATGAAGGCACAAATTCCCAAATTATATTCAAGTGATCTGGGACTACAGGGCACAAGAACAAATGAAAAGTTTTTTTTTTTTTTTTTTTAAGATTTTTATTTATTTATGCATGAGAGACATAGAGAGAGAGAGGGGCAGAGACGCAGGCAGAGGGAGAAGCAGGCTCCATGCAGGGAGCCCGACGCGGGACTCGATCCTCGGTCTCCAGGATCACGCCCTGGGCTGAAGGCGGCGCTAAACCGCTGAGCCACAGGGGCTGCCCCCAAATGAAAAGTTTTTAAAGCAGGACCAACATTGCTCCTAAAGCAATATGAAGAAACTACGTATAACTTCGTCTTTAAGAAACATGAACGCAAATACTTTCAAGTTTATATTATTACCTAGTTCAACATGAAAACAAAAACAAAATTGTAAACCACTGAGCCACCTGGGCTGCCCTCTTACTGAGGTTTTGCTTGCATTTCTCTGATGATCAGTGATGTTGAACATGTCTTCAAATACGTGCTGGCTGTATGTCTTCTGTGGAAAAATGTCTATTTAGCTCTTTTGCTCATTTTTAAAATTGGGTGATTTGCTTTTTTGCTATTGTAGGAGTTTCTTATATAGTTTGGGTTATTAACCCCTTATGTGAAACATAGTTTGCAAATATTTTCTCTCATTCTAAAGGCTGCCTTTTCGTTTTGTAATCCATCTCTTTTTATCTTTTGGATTATAATGTTCAAAAAATACTAAATAAAAACATGTTATTAAATCCTTAAAAAAGCTAATCAAAATAGTTAGGCTGACCTCTGGTGGCCAGATGCCTCAACCTTCAGTAACTGACAAAATGATAGGAAGTCCTCTCTCATTTGCAGAGACCCCCAATTAAAATACAGTAAAGGGGGGGAATCCCTGGGTGGCTCAGCGCCGCCTTCAGCCCAGGGCATGACCCTGGGGTCCTGGGATCGAGTCCCCCATCGGGGTCCCTGCAAGGAGCCTGCTTCTCCCTCTGTCTCTCTGTCTCATAAATAAATAAAATCTTTTTTTTAAAGATTTATTTGTTTATGATAGAGAGAGAGAGAGAGAGAGAGAGAGAGAGAGAGAGGGGCAGAGACACAGGAGGAGGGAGAAGCAGGCTCCATGCACCGGGAGCCCGACACGGGACTCGATCCCAGGACTCCAGGATCGCGCCCCGAGCCAAAGGCAGGCGTCAAACCGCTGAGCCACCCAGGGATCCCCCTGAATAAATAAAATCTTAAAAAAAAAAAAAAAAAAGAAATACAGTAAAGGAAATAATATTGTTAGAAACTTCACAGTAAAAGGAACCAAAGGTAGCATGCACCTAAAGCATAAAAAGAGCTCAGCAATTAAAGGCCACAAAATAAGAAAAATGTCTCCAAATATTAGTCTGTTCTAGTTCACCAATTTTACATGAAAAACACATGGGACATACAGTGGTTCTCACACCAAGAACAGTTTCACACTGTCCAATACTGTAGACACCAGCCCCAAGTGTCTACGGAGCACTCAAAGTGCGGTCACTGTAAAATAACATCAGATTTCAAAAACGTGGTAGGGGAAAAAAAAAAAAAAAAAGAAGAGGGGTCCCTGGGTGGCGCAGCGGTTTGGCGCCTGCCTTTGGCCCGGGCGCGATCCTGGAGACCCGGGATCGAATCCCACGTCGGGCTCCCGGTGCATGGAGCCTGCTTCTCCCTCTGCCTGTGTCTCTGCCTCTCTCTCTCTCTCTGTGTGACTATCATGAATGAATGAATGAATGAATGAATAAATAAATAAATAAAAAAGAGAGGACGCAGACCATTAGTAATTTGCTGGCTACACGCTGAAATAACATTTTGGACATACTTGGTTAAAACGCTAATGCCCTTTCTGGGTTTCTTTCCCCACAGCCCTGCAGCCACCTACATCTCAGCCATAGTGAGGTCATACTGGTCGTATATTCTAGGAATTCCTGGGCCTCTATGCTCTCGCTCCAGCTGGTTGACCTGAAACACTCACCCCCTCTTCGCCTTCTCAGAACTAGACGTCCTGACGATCTTGCGATTCCAGGCAACCCAAAAGCCACCGCTGCCATTGCTTTAACCGGCACTGGAATACTTCGGGTTGCGTGTGTAACAGGAAGCAAGAGAACCGGATGAATAAACCATCGAACGTTCGCACGACAGAATGCCGGGACGGCCTGTCTGTGCCTCAGTTTCCCCGTCTGGGGGTTACCTGGCCCGGGTCGTTTGCAAGGGCCGGATGAAGTCGAGCGCTCAGAACAGTGTCCGGCAAACGGGGGTCCGAAGGGTGCAAGTCAGTACTATCAAAGGACCCACATGAACGAACCTCAAAGACCACACGGATTTAAAAAAAAAAAAAAAAAAAAAAAGGAAAAGGCAAATTGCAAAGGATCATCTTCATCATTTCTGCAAACGGTGACTTGTAGGTCGGAACGCGAGAGCAGCTCGGTGCAGTTACTCGGAGGCTTCCCCCCAGCCGTTACCACGGAACCACAGCGGGGGCAGAGAAGCCGTCAGCCGTGGAGAGCAGGTGAGTCGGCGGGAGAGGTGCAGGGGCGGCCTCGGCGGCCCCGCCCGTGACCCCGCCCGCGGCTCCAGGGCGCCCCCAAGGCCCGCGGCAGGCCGGGCGCCCGCGTCTCGGGAGGGGGGGCGGCGCGCAGCCTCCAGCGCCCGGCCTTTCCCTTCTCGCACCGCCCCCCTTGAGCCCGAGCGGCCGCGGCGCCCTCGGCCGACCCCCGCGCTCACCCTGCGGGACGCTTCCCTCCTCCTCGCCCCGCCGGGCCGCACCGAACCAGCGACTCCCGCGCAGCGGCCCCGCCGTCCGCCTAGTCGCGCGGCTTACATCACTTCCGGGCGGCCCTACGCCACTTCCGGGCGGCCCGGCGCCGCGCCCCTCGCGACGCCACTTCCCGCTCGGAGCGCCGCAGCCCGTGCCCCAGGCGCATGCGCCCGCCCCTCCGTAAGCGGGGACGGGCCCGCCCCTCTGTTCCCGCCCTCGCGGCAGTCTCGCGGTACCTCCTCATCCCGCGGGAGGTATTTGAACGCGGTGGCGGGAACGGCGCCCCGGACCGTCGGAGGCCGGCGCGCCCCTGCGTCCCTGAGCGGCGGGGCTCGTCCCCCCGGGTCGCGGCGCCATGGGGGCGGAGAAGAAGCTGCTGCCGGTGAAGGAGGCCTTCCAGCTGGCGCAGCAGCCGCACCAGAACCAGGCGAAGCTGGTGATGGCGCTGAGCCGCACCTACCGCGCGGTAAGCGGGGGCCAGCGTCCCGGGCCGCGGCTCCTCCGCCACCGGTCGGCGAGGTTCCCCCCGGCCCCCGCGGCGGCCTCGGGGGTCCAGGGAGCCCCCGGGGATCCCACGGCTCCTCCCCGTCGCACGGTGTCGCGGCGGGGCGGCGGGGGCGGCGGGGGCGGCGGGGCAGCGGGGCCGCCTCCTCGCACCCTGCGCCTTCGCGTCCCTTTTCCTCCCCGAAGTCCTGGTCTCTGCAGAGGCATTTGTGCAACAACAATAACAAAAACATTTACTTCCCCTCCCTTGGCCGGCTTGGCCCCCCCCCCCCCCGGCTCCCCGAGAGTCCGTCTGGGCTGCGCTAGGGGCCCGGCAGCCGTCGGGGGGCGCGGGGGTCGCGACGTGCCGCTCTGCCCTGCAGGTGGACGACAAGGCCGGCTTCCACGAGGAGTTCGCTCGCCGCCTGCGGTACGCCATGGTGGTGTATAAGCGGGAGCCCGCCGTCGAGAGGGTCCTGGAGTTCGCAGCCAAGTTTGTCACCTCGTTTCACCAGTCGGATGCGGACGAGGAGGCGGAGGCGGAGGAGGCGGAGGCGGAGGAGGATGGGGGCATCTTGAATTACTTGTTTACCTTTCTTCTAAAGGTACGAAGCTGAGACTTTGGGGGGGAGTGGGGGGGAGTGTCGTAGAAAGTCTTGCCGTACGAAAAGGGCCATGGGAGTTTGCCATCAAAATCCTAGAGGAGGACACAGGCAACACCCCTTTTTGAACTCGGCCACAGTAACTTCTTGCAAGATGCATCCACGAGGGCAAGAGAAACAAAAGCAAAAATGAACTATTGGGACGTCATCAAGATAAGAAGCTTTTGCACAGCCAAAAGAGTTCGCATGCTTTAGAGGAGGAGATCCTTAGCAACGGAGGAGATGTCTGAATGAGCCTGCCTTTTGTAGGAAGTGTTAGGACTGTCCTTGAGATGAGAAAAACGGACTTTAACTCCAGCGTTAAGCTTTGATGGTCTTAGCCAGTTCTTACCTGGCTTCAAACGAGTTGCCTGTTTTGTTTTATTTTATTATTTTATTTTATTTATTATATTATATTATATTATATTTTTTATTTTTTTATTTTATTTTATTTTATTTATTTTATTTTATTTTATTTATTTTATTTATTTTATTTATTTTATTTATTTTATTTTATTTTATTTTATTTTATTTTATTTTATTTTATTTTATTTTATTTATGAGAGAGAGAGAGAGGCAGAGACACAGGCAGAGGGAGAAGCAGGCTCCATGCAGGGAGTCCCACATGGGACTCGATCCCGGGTCTCCAGGATCACACCCTGGGCTGAAGGCAGGTGCTAACCCGCTGAGCCACCCGGGCTGCCCCAAGTTGCCTATTTTAGAAATAAAGTGAGGATTCCTACAGAGGGGAGTGTGCCCTGGTAATTTGGTTCAGACTTCCTTTGGACTGTGTGTACCGGGAGCCTCACCGTGTGCAGGCGGATCAAGGCAGCAGGGCGCTTTCTCTGCAAGCAGCGAATGACTCTGTAACTTCCCAAATTCCGAACAGGATTCCTGTGATTGTAAACAGATTTTAATTTGTTCCCGTTACAGTCTCACGAAGCCAACAGCAATGCAGTGAGATTTAGAGCGTGCCAGCTCATAAGCAAGTTCTTGGGAAGCATGCCAGAAAATGCCCAGATTGATGATGATTTGTTTGATAAAATTAATGAAGCCATGCTTACTAGGTTGAAAGATAAAATTCCAAATGTGAGGATACAGGCAGTTCTGGCTCTTTCACGACTTCAGGATCCCAAAGATGATGACTGCCCCGTGGTTAATGGTATGTGTAGCTTCCTAAACTCTTTTTCAGTTTCCTTGACTTTGTTAAACTCTTGGTAGACAGGGTTTCTAAAAGATTCTCTCTTTGTGTGGAAAAAGGTATAGGGTACATATATGACTTAAAAAAAAAAATACCCAAGTAGTCCCTACCCAACTTAAAAAGTAGGCCAAAGAGCATCATTCACCAGTGCCTTTGAAGTCTGTCCTACCTCCCATCCTACCCTCCGTCAGAGTTCACGATTATTCTGAATTTTGAGTTAATTATTCTCTTGTCTTTAGACACATGTATGGATCTCCTGTCATTTATGCGCTATATGAGTTGTATTTGTTTGCACTTTCGGATCGATCATTATTTCTAATTGTAACATTCATCCATGTTGATGATATTTACTGTCTTACAGCATTCTGTTGTACGAATATAGCACAGTTAATTATTTCTAATATCGACCGTCTGGTTTCTAGTTATTTTACTCTGAAAAAAATGGTGTTACTGTGAATTTCCTTATCATGACTTCTGGTACACAGGTTAAAGAGCTTTTCTAGGGTATATACCTAAGGGGGACTTGTTAGGATCATGTTAGGATATGTGTACATTTCAGCTTTATTAGGTAAGGTACAAGTGTTCTACAAAACAGTTTACCAATTAATATTCCCAGGAACAGTACAGAAAAGCATTCATCGGTCATATTCTTTCCAATGTTTGATATTGTCAGATTTTAAAATTGTTTATCTGGTTGTGTGTGTGATACATTTCCTTTTTATGCATCTTTTCATATATTTAACAGTCAATTGTATTTCTTCTATATAATGCCTATTAATGTGTTCTCATTTTTCTGTTGCTTTGTCTTATTGATTTACTGAAGTTCTTTGTTCTGGAAAGAAATTTTGGATCTTGTGAATTGTAGGTATCTTTCAACTTTAGATAGATAGATAGCTCTTTTTTTTACTTTTTTTTAGGATGTCTTCTCCTGGACAGAAATTCCTGATGTCAAAATTAATCAATCTCTGCCTTTATGACTTCCTCCTCCACCTCCTCCTCCTCTTCTTCTTCTTCTTCATGATCTGTGCTTTCTATCTTTAAGAAATTTTTCTCTATCTCTGGCCTCGTAAAGATAGTTATATTCCACTTGTCCATATATGCCTAGCTATGTTTTGGCCACATTTTCATTTTTCTCTTTATCCCTGCTACTAGCTTTATTATCAGTTTTGGTAACTGATTTTAGTTAAAATATTTGGTGTTAAATGGTACACATAATACTGTATAAAACAGGGACTCCTGGGTGGCTCAGCAGTTGAGTGTCTCCCTTTGGCTCAGGGCATGATCCCGTAGTCCCGGGATCGAGTCCCGCATCGGGCTCCCTGCAGGGAGCCTGCTTCTCCCTCTGCCTGTGTCTCTGCCTCTCTCTCTGTGTGACTATCATAAATAAATAAAAAAAAAATCAAAAAAAAAATAAAAATATTGTTAAATATCAAAATGTGAGTTATCTTATGACTGTGGTTTAAATAAATAATAGTTCCTTAGTGTACTAAAATGTATTGCTCTATTTTTAGCATATGCTACTTTGATTGAAAACGATTCAAATCCAGAAGTTAGGCGGGCAGTGTTATCACGTATTGCGCCATCAGCAAAGACTTTGCCAAAAATCGTAGGGCGCACTAAGGATGTGAAAGAGGCTGTCAGAAAGCTGGCTTATCAGGTAAATAAGTCTAATTATTTGTGTAGACATATTCTAAAAATACTTTTGAAAAATATTTGGCATATAATAATGATTTCTTCAATTTTTGTGGATTTTTATGAGATTTATGGACAGGGAGTATAGATAATTGAGGTAGACTCTTACTGCATTAAGTGTGTTACCAGATATTAATTTGTTTTGGAAATTCTGGGTTGTTTTCTTAGATGAAGGAGTTATTACTAGTTATGAAATATATAGACTATGTGGAGTTTAATGACCACCTTATTATTTTTACTTTCTCCTTAAGGTTTTAGCTGAAAAGGTTCATATGAGAGCTATGACCATTGCTCAGAGAGTAATGCTCCTTCAACAAGGTCTTAATGACAGATCAGGTAAGATAGACTTCTATATACAAAACATCAGTAGGGGACACCTGGGGGACTCAGTGGTTGAGCCTCTGCCTTCAGCTCAGGGCATGACCCCAGGGTCCCGGGATCAAGTCCTAATTGGGCTCCCTGCAGGGACCCTGCTTCTCTCTCTGTCCGTGTCTCTGCCTCTCTCTCTGTGTCTCTCAAGAATAAAACCTTTTAAAAAAATCAGTAGGTTTTGGTTTAGTAGGCTTAGAAGATTTAGAAAACATGTGTCCTTAATTATGTCCAGGAAGTCTGTCACTGACACAGCCTGTCAAAATTTAGCTTTGGTACATCATGTAGAAAACATTTCAAAGGGTTAAAAGTCCTGGTAGTTAAAGGAACAGTGTTTGTTTTAATTTTGCTGTGTTTTACAGTTGAAGGAACTGTGTGAAGGCTATCTAGCTAATTTATATCAGAGGTAGGGCAGGATCTTTTTCAACTCTCTCTCTTCCAAAGAAGTGCTGTCTGTCCCCTTTGTGTATGTCTTGGTGGTGATGTGTGCTGTGCTACAGAAACAAATTAAGAATAATCAGGCTAGTATAGTTTTCCTACCCTTTTTTTTTTCTCTGTTAAAACTAGAGACTGCTTACAGGCATCATGAGGAATGGTATATTTTAAATTTCCAGTCCCCATGAAAAGGCTAAGACAGCTTAGTTTTGCTGTAGCAACAAAACTTG